ACATGTTAAAACGTAAAGCGATGTCTCGTTGGTATTGAGATCGCTAGCCTTCATTTTTCACCAATTCAATTCGTTATCAATAACACTTCAGAAATTCATGTCGAATCTCAATCTGGATAACATCAGTGGCATGATTCAGTTCTGGATGAAACGTTGTTAATTGAAATAAGATCAGATTCGTGAAGTGAAAATTTGCGAAGGTTTTTCAAATTTGAAGAGATACAATAAAAGGATAATATATATATATATAATATATATATATATATATATATACAAATATGTAACCACATGTGTATGTATATAGGTACATATATATGCGTATATGCATATATATATATACAATTACATCAATGATGAAGAGTTTTTTCAACAAGCTTTCTGGAGTTATCAGTTCCTCGAATACTTTGACGATCGAGAAAATATCGCAAGTTATCAAAAAGCGAGCTGCGAAGTTTTCTGTGGGAAAAGTAGTAGTTTGAAATCTTGATTCACTCATAAAAAAGACCTTGTTCAATCACCCCAGAGTGCATGAAGTCATTGAAAATACCACCAATTTTAGTTTTATAATATTAACATCTTTATACCAACGAATTATTGGGCGATATCATCTTGCCCTGCAAGCCAAACTCCCGCGTATCCTTTTTCTTAGTCGAAATATGAGTCTCAGTGGAAAAATGCATTTTGTTGGCAAGGATTTGCAGGAATCAAACAAGAGAAATCCGAAAATGAGCTTGAACATCTTAGTTTATACTAGACGACCATTACTTGCTACATCACAAGCATTTTGATTAATACGCATGGCTATAATTTCCGTAGAAAATGATGAAGAAGTCGACTCATTTTTTCAATGATAGAATGGAACTTTGGATGAATAATTGAAAAATGTAAGACTCAAGTGGATATTGCAAGACTGAAAGAGCTGCAACTTCCTCAAAATATCCATGATTTTTATTATCTCCATTTTGTATCAATAAAATCTTTCGCTTCAGGAGAACGAAATGTTCGTATATCCGGTAATCGGTTATGACAATAAACGCTGACATTTGTGCTATGCTCGATCGTAACGCGATTTTATGATTCCGAAAAAGTTTCTGGTTTTTTTCAAGGTGGCTTTAACACTGCTTAACAACATCTCAATAAGCGAGGGGTGTCAGGTGGAGAAAGACGTCCTTGTCGATGAGCCACGAAGAGGTCACCGTTCTCGTTTCATACACACTCATGTCAAATATTCCGAACTACTAGGATTAGGAAGAGGTCAATACGTGAAAACCTATAGAGGCACCTGACCTCGATTGAGAATCATACGCAGATTATTCTGCGCATTAATTCAAATTTGAAACGTTCCCAATAATCCACTATAAGCCACAACTAGAAAAAGAAGTGCGCAGATCTGAGAGGAAGAATGTACTGTGTGTAAAAAAGGACTCTACTGGTACTGAAATTTATGAGTGTTCTCAATTTCATTGCAAGAGATGTATAATGAATATCTTACGCCGAAAATGAGCAAAGACATCTCAAAAATGAATTAAGAAAATGAAGCAAGGAGCTATATTGATGCAATAAGCGAATATTACTCCCGCAAATATATCGATAACACATAGTGAAATTTACGTAGTGAAAAAAATCAAGTATCACGATTTTTTGGCGTAAAAAAAGAACCCGGTGGCATACAGGGTATCTACATCATACGTGGCCACTCCTTGGAAGGCATTAGTTAGCGTTCCTCTTTGGAATTATCACCGTTAACGATTTTGTCACATTAAACTGCTAGTTACTGAAATGGCTGCACTTAGGAACGATGGCGATTTCAATAAAGATGTTTTATGATATTATCGTGCTGACTGCGCAAGTTCTTGTTCCAAGAGCTGCTAGATGGCTAAGTTGACGTGAGGCCCAACATATCAACAAAGATGTCACAGCTGTGCGGTAGGTAGTCTTGGCCTCCCTCCTAGAGATTAGTTCCCTTCAGAACTGAAACGATTTCTCTCAAAAGTTCATTGTCTATAGACCCATCGCTGATTCGATGTTGATCATGAGTCCATCATATGAGTGGATGCTCTGTCGTTTGCAATTCGACAATTACCCCACAATATCACCTCATCGCATCAACTGTGGCATATCATGGAGGAAAACACCATTGTTATGGGTTTTCCACCTCGCGTAATCTATAATTAGGTTTTTTGATCCGGAGAGCTATCTCAGTAATTCCATATTGTATTTTGTTCTTGTCATAGAGGCCCTAGAAGAAATAATTTTGTTATTTTTTGGTGGTATATTGATTCTCATCCACCATGTCAACACTAGCGACTGCGATTTCTTGATCGCAATGCACAGTATTCAATGAAATTAAGCGGTACTTCAAACATCCCTACCCTAATACTCAGATTTTTGAGCCTTCACCAAAGCACATTATTATTCTTTTATTAGCCAGCATATTATTCGATTTTGTCTAATGCTGACTAAATAATTTCGAGTGAAGCGGTTCGACGTGTTCCCGACCAAAATTGTATATAGTGAATTCGATTGTTGTTACTTGTTCTTTACGCTGTCAATTACATGCGCTCAGTCAAATGTATCAATAGTATGACGAAATCGCTTGCATGGCTATTAAACGCTTACGAGAAAATGTCGACGGATTAGGCGATCACTCGTAGGTGAAGAACCTGTTGGCGGCCAAGGTCTAACACACTCAGACCAGGAGACCGCCACATTATCAAGAAAAGCCTACTCGTCTAGAAAGCGAGAATGCTCTCTTCCTTATTGCCCTTATAGGAAATCATGAAGCAGAGAAGATACAGCTGAAGAAGAGGAGAAATACTACATAGTAGTACAATGAGTACATCAGAATTCAGATCACGTGTAGGCATTAGTTACAGGCATCTGTAATGTGCACAGAACCGCAAGGTCAATCCCGGTGTATAAGGTGACTAACCTTCCCGCCGCTTTGGGATGAAAAATAGGTTATAGAGTTGTGTGAAGGACGAAAATCTAACTATGTATATTGGCAGGCAGCTGCAAGCCACTGTACTGGCAAGATTTGCATTCAATTACCTCTACGACATCCATCGCATGTTACGGATGGGCTCGAATGCAGGGAATTAATAAGGATGTGATATTTCATGTCATAGTAAGAATAAGGATACTAAAGCGTGGAAGAAAATTTTCAGTTGTAAGAACTTTGCCCTATGATGTCGAGTGATAGGCAGTACTTCGAGGTTAGGCTGAACTCGAACCCACATTTACACCCTTTTCAGGAGTGCGTTCTTAACCACTTGAACTACCGACGCCTCTCTTGCCATCACTCTTTCAACGACATAATGCATCCATTTGCCAGCAACCAACTGTCAACGGTTCGGCCTGGTAGTCGCTAACGACATTGAACCCACTCAAGCTGACAGATATTGAATATACGTATGAAACTCGACTCGAGTCCCGCCTGACGTCAAAGTTTTGCACACCACTCATCATCATGGATATATCTAGAATTTCATATCACCGCTAAGCGTCTAAATATAAACAATTGTAAGAACTTCAATACTAAAAAACCCAGGTATTGAACTTCATGGACAATAATTCGTCAAATCAGATATCGTAATTATTTCGAAGCTTTTTCAAAACGGAATAAATTAGTAAATAGTCGATGATTAATGATGAGTGACTCACTTGCACAACACTTTCCTTCAGAGCACATTTCATTTCCGGTGACACATTCGCTGTCTTGGTGACAACTTCTCGTCCAGTTAGATCCGTCCGGGCATAACACGTCAGCATTTGTGAACGAGTTTTCCAACTTAGTCGTACTTGACGACAAGTTAGCGTGTGTTGATTGTTGAGTAAGGTATGGTGATACTATAGCGTGATATTAGTAGCTGAGTGAAATTCATCGATCAATAGCCATCAAAAGCATTAGAAAATGATCTGCGATTCATTAGTATTTATTAGTAAGCGGAGTAACGTTATCAAAGAGCCAACAATCCGTTGGACAAAATTCCTCCGTGTAAAAAGAAAAAAGTCTCTTGAGAACTTCAAAACTCATTCAGTCTTTTTTAAACAGTAAAAAAAAGTCTAAAATGGCTGAAGGTCAAGAGCCCACTTCATAAATGTCTTACCTTCACGTTGTAAGCCAACAACGGGGCGAAGTACAGTTGGGCAGCAAAAACTAACGATCACATATCTCTCCAAAAAAGCAGTCGTCCTAAGTGATCAGCTACTATCAAAAACAGTTACTTTAATAATTCGAAAGTGGTTAGAATCTATTATGAAATGCAATCATTGTAAAAATTTTTCGAAAGTGAATAGAAAATGTATCTACGAAGGAAGGGGAAGTTAGAGGAAGCACGAGGTAAAGAGATTAATTCAGGATGTGTAAAACATTTTTGTAAATAGTCTTACAATAAACAAAGGACGTAAATCCGCGCAATATGGTTGGAAACGATGAAAATTTTAGCATCTTGGTCATAGCACAACAAGCCGCAACATTACCTGTTGAGTGCATCTATAGTAAGAATATCGTGTATCAGCACACTGTCTACAGTTTCCTTCCGCTTCGCAAAGCCCTGAATTTCGAAAATACAGCGAAATTACCCACATTTGAAATCTGTGATATGCCAAGAAAAAAATTTCTTAGTGAGACATTTTCCTTGAGCGTTCACTCACTTCGATGAGCTTCAACATAGTAGATCAATAGAAAAGCGAACAATATTTGCATAATTTGCTGGTGACTAGGAGTGGTTCTTGATAGATCTGTGCAGATTTACGCTGGCGTACCAACGACAGGTGCACGATAACTGCGTAATACACGTCGTTTTTATGAGGCGATAGGCGTGGCGATAGAAACACCAATTACGGTAGAATGGCCGAAAATACGATGAGGATTCACGCGAGTTGCTGATGTTAAACGAAATTAAAACAAGAAAACATATTTCAGTTAGTGTCGCTTCGTTGAAAGGCACACGCAGCGCAATAAGTAATTCTGTGCTGAACTGAAAAAGGAATTGTTCAGCTCAATCCCTCGCCTACAAGCCAGACCCTCCGCCCGTCTAGGAATCGCAATTTTGATTTTAAACTTATTGGGAGGACGAAAATATTGGATTTGTAAGTGGTGAAAGTATGACGGTCATCATGTAAGTCAATATGCATTAAAACACCTAAAAAATTTAAACAAAAGTTGAGTGGAACAGCGCAATCCTAAGTGATACATCAACGCTGATAGCTTTAATCTTCTGCTTTTGTTTTCGTGCACCGTCAAAGGCAAATGAAAAACTTTCGCAGGAATGACGCAACGTTTAATTAGTGAAATGTCAGTATACCATTTGCTATCTTGCTACTTGGTAAAAAGATCTTGATGAACTGCCTCACATGTAGAGCACCCTTAATACATCTTAGTGTTTCTTCTCACAATCCTCTACCATGGTGACTGTTTACTCGTGTACGATCACGTTCACCAGCCAAATCTGTTATTCATAAGTTTCCAGCTGCAAATGCAGACGGCTGATGAGAAATACAAATGGGTTGGCCCACAGTGACAGCGGAGTTGGCATTCTCTCACTGTATCACAGATAGAGCATTCGCGGATTCAAAACTACTTCAAGTCCCGCATTTGCTCATCGTCAATTTGCAGCTCTTTCTGTCTCATACTGCTATCGTCACCGATGAATGTTTTCCTTGACCCTAAAAATGGAGCATATCATAATTCAGATTGGTCTCGTTCACTGAGCTCACTGGGCACCGTCATTGCTTCTGTGATGCTCTCACAAATGTTGATGTCGTCAACAAAGTAAAGATTTGGCAGAAATTTCGAAGATTTTATTATACATTCCCCTTAGTGCCTGAACGCAGTGTTATAACTGTCTATCAAAATTTTCGTGACTTTCGTCTCGAGTGTTCTCTTAAGACCACGCTCAGATTCCAATATGTGTGGTGATTATCTTTTGAGCCATGCATGTGGTTTGTTCTGAGCACTTGTACAGTCCAATACACTTGTTATGGCCTTGGAAGCCTTATCATTTGGGCAGGCCATTCGTCTCTTCACCCAGTTCTCTCGGGGATGGGAGGGACCCAACTCCCTATGTAGGAAAGGACGGAAACATACTATTTACACGTGCTAATAAGTGATAATATCACCGAATGGGTAATGTTGTGCACTCGATTGCTCTTGTCTGGTAATCGTGGAACATCATACCTTTTCGAGCGTCATCACTTGACGGCGCGTGCAAATATTACGCATGCGTTACCCTAGGCAAAGGGTGTCCTCCACAAGAGGGCTTAGCCTGGACGAAAAGACTGGCTCAAATAATTATTGGGAAATTTGAGCATAGTTTAGAGAAAACACTCTAAACGAAAGGCATGATATATTGACGATGTCAGTCAAGTGCAATCGATTGTGCAACGCTGCCCCATTAGTGATATATTCACTTATTCTCACGTGTTAACATCACCATTAGCGCTTTCTCTGTGTAAGGGGCTGGGTTCCTCCCGAGAGGATTGGCTAAAGGTGAAGGGCCTGCCCAAGTGACGAGGCTGCCAATGGCGAAACACGTATATTGGGCTGTACAAGTGCCCGCAACAGACCACATGCATGCTCGAAAAGTAATTATCGGGCATATAAAAATTTCATATAATAAACTCTCTTTCCCTTGTAATTCTGTTCAACATGAGTGTATTTCTCATCCTAGTAATCAGCAATGCATAGAACAGCGGACAGATACATCGAAGACTTCAATAGAAGCACATGCGGTTCGGATGTGAGGGTAGGTATGTTAATAAGTATGTGGTCTGATACCTTACCATAGTCTTTTTTGTTCAAAGGCTGTGCCTCATTCAAGTTTCATAATATGCCCAATAAGAAACTCTCTGTGAAAAAACTGAAGTTCTCTGGCCGTCGTCGTTGAACAGGACTACCGCGAACGAGATTATCCACTGGTTTGGAATATTTCGATAGTGCATCTCATGTAGACCACAAAAAATGCTCTATGGAAGTCGGAAGTTATGTGATCCTCAATCTGTATCCTTTTTATACTTTCTGTCTTAGAAGAGCTCCAGAGAAAAAAACATTGAACCAGAGCATATTCCAAGCAGCAATAAAATAACTGTGAAGTACAAAAGGTTTGTGTAAATATTTTACATCAATTTCATTCCATGATGAGCGGTGGTCAATGTTTCGCCTTTGCTTATCAGGGTTGATGGCGCAACAGTAGCCGCACAAAGTCCTCAGCAATTTTCTGCTTAGTTTTTTAAGTTAGTTGTGAGTGTTTTTTCTGCTAGTGCTAAATAAATTACTTGTACTTAGTGGCGATAATGTGATTCGACTTGTTTGAGAAGCGAAGGCGTATTTGAAATGCTTTGAAAGTTTTCACACAAGCAATTAAAAGTCTCCCATTGAGTCGTTTTTAAATTGATAATCATATGAGGGAGCAAGAGCGCGTATGGAGCAGTGGTTAGAGATGCTCTGCGTCGCACGCAAGATCGATAGTTCAGTCTCGCGCTCACGGCTCACCGAGCTGTCCATCTATCCGAGGTGGGCAAGTTGTTGGCGACTTGTCCAAGAGGATAAGTAGCACTGACTTAATACACCTGAAGGCCACTGCGAGTGATTGTGAAGGCTAAGTATTTATGCATTTTTGCAATTACCTCAGACGAATGCATGACGCATTCCTCAGGGATTGAGAAACGCCGAGAACGTATGTTTTATGAGGGAGGAGGGGAGACTGATGGAATTGAGCACTGCAAGAATCACGTTGTTGGAAAGCTCTCATACTCCAAGTCTAGAAAAGCCGCCTCCATTCTTAAATTGATTTTCTATGCAAAGTTTCTAGGTATTCTATACACTTTCGTTAACCTTTTATGAGAAATACCCGGAAACAATTTTATAGGAGTTTCCGTTGCGGATTATTTGATAATCACCTGATTATACAGGGCGTCTAATTCTCTCTAATCATTCTGATGAACAACGGTTTATGGCACGATGGTTCTCACAAATAGAGAATGTAGAGGAAAAGGTTCAGAGGTGATAGGGCTTTCTTGGAGGTGAACTGATATAAAACAATATAAAACCCACCATATGTTGCTGTAAACAGAAATATCGAGACGGTTGTGCGACGCCAGGACCTGCTATATTATGTAAACGGAATTTTTCTACCCAAATAACAAGGGCTCGTCATTTAATAGAATTTACTCGGTGTGCGGTAGTCTTATTGCTTCTCACTCCTTATAGGACTACTATATGGAAGACAATGCAATCAGCGACCTCAAGAAGAGTGTGGAAACCATCATATCAGGAGAATGTTCA